CTTGCCATCCTGCTTTTGGTGAATTATCCTTAGGTATGGTGTCCTGCTTTGACGATGTCCGTCACATGGCGGACAAAAACTGAGCAAGGATTCATCGAAGTCGCAGGGCGGTGCGCCGAGGACCTATTAGATTTTAAAATTGTTTTCTTCATACTATTAGTCCTAGGTTGTTTCTTAATAATAGGTTTGATTTGTCACATATAATTGAGGGATCTTGTTAAAACACTTCATAATTTTCTTAAACAAAAGCTTCATAAAAACAGCAAAGTTACATTGTTTGATGAGGACTAAAACCAGGCGTAAATAAAACACAGTCTGCCACTTTTTATTCAGCTAAGTTGCTGAAGTTATGATCAATGACGGGTAATTAATATATGAAAGGTATGCAGAAAGCATCTAAAGGAAGAAGACAAAATAAAGTAGGCACTTCTTTATCGAAATGTTAGACCTACGAATAATTATAGTCTTCAAAAATTTGCAGAGATGGGGTTGCCCCAGCCAGGATAATTATGACCAATAAGAGTTACGGGGTGCATATGGTGTCACTATTTCTTGCCATCAATTAAAGCAAATCTCCGGATATTGGCATTATTGGAAGTATAACAGAGGACTTCGGACAAGGTTTGCCCAACTAGGTTGCCCTGACAGCACGGCCAAGTTGTGAAAACGAAGAAAAACCATTTCTACAAATGCGGGTTTTCTTCTCAACTTCTTTTTAAATCATACTCATATTGTTGAAATAGGAGTTATTAAATAAATTATAGTGAGAAGCTTGCATCTAGCAAACGTAAATCACCAGGGTCAAGAAGTAGATTGTAAAGAAAAATTTTAGCTCAAAACGACTATTCACTATAATGGACTGGCAACTATTTCATCCGTCCTCATCTGGTGAGATAGACAAACGAATCTCTTCATCATGTACTTTCATTCGAAATGAAGGTCCCCCTAACAACTATTTCACAATATTGACAGAAAACAGCTATTTGGAGCAAAATAAAATTGCACAGCTTTGAGAAAATGGGACATCAGAAGCATGAATAACTAAAAGCTAACACTTACCTAGATCATTAGCTCTTTTTATGAATCTCCTGATTACTTCTCCAGATGAGGTTGATATAAGATTTTACCCTCATTCAGTGGTGCTTATGTAGAGGAGATTTGTCTGGCCATACCTAAGAGTTAGCCCTAGCAAAAAACCACCTGCAAAAGTTTAAGTCAAGAAATCGGAGGTGGCTGAGCATACGATCATCACAAGACACCTAAGAGATCTGCTCAAAACCCAATGTTTTGCAGGATATGAAAAGTATATGGCTAAGTGGAAGCTAGTTTATTTATGTGATGAAATAGCTGCTACAACATTCCTATTTATTTCATACATTAATTCAGCGTATCTTTAAGTATGTAATGTAGAGATGAAGTAGCCAATCTAATGACAGGATGCCTCAACAAAATTAGGTATAAAAAGTAAACAGGGTTTTAACTGGTTTTATCTTTGGTGAATTTTTCCTAAATGGTGGAGTTGGTTATAACAATGTCTGCCACATGATACACTAAAGCTCAGCACAGATTCATCGGAGTCCCAGGACGATAAGCCGAGGTCTTAATCGCAGAATTCAGCAATCACGACTTCAAGACAATCCTCCTCCGGTCTCTAGTGAGGCCCATTTACGAACCCCTTATACCTACCTTTTCAAACGAAACGAAAAGTACAACAACATCAATCTGTGGTCAGCGATCAGATGGTGGAAGAATACATGACCCAGAAATAGAGGAAGAAGTACGAGGTAATTCCAACACCTGAGCCCAGAAAACCAATTCCAAGTAGACATAAAATGTGGCCTTAGTCTATCAAAGTTAACCTAAGCTAGAGGGCTCATATACGTAGTAGAACTAATGACCGAGTATAGTGTATAAGGTACCTGGGCAATAGCTTCCATGGCAGCCGACAGCGCCTCATCAAGGGAGGTCGAAGTTGTTGAGTTGCCCCTTACTTCGTCTTCCCCTTCTTCTTCATCCATTACACCAACTGAGGATGGAGCATTAGGTTTGTTCTCTGCGTCATATGTCGTCAGGCCAACCATACCATTTCTGGGCTCGTCAGCGGAATCCTGGGTAACATTCAAGCCACATGCGACTACCGATGAAATCATTTGGCGTGAACAGTTGACTGGAGTAGAAACAGCGTTGGGTAGCGAGTGAATTTCGTGCCCCGCAGACTCTTTTTCACAATCAGAGGAAGAAGGCAACGAGGACAGCCGTCCGGGCAGACTCTGAAGCTCCGACTCAACTGCAGAAGTGGAGATGCCTCCTTTCGTGGGCAAATCCCTAAGGAGTCTGAGTGTGGAGGTGAGTGCCGGCGAAGGGGGCGGAGCCATTATAGTCATTCCAATAATTTGTCCGCTTCCTTCTTCCCTCAGAACGGCTCTACAATTTGCTGTTCCACAGTCACTTTCAGTGGTATCTCCTTCAGTTTCGCTCGCAAGACAAATCATGATCTGGGATCATATAGATGTAGCGCTTTATGGTGTGATGAAACACAAAATATGAAGAATAAAAATATTAAGTACAGTCCGAGGGGAACATACCTAAATATTCACTTCCGTTATTTTGGCAATGAAATTAGGAGCCGCAGATTCTGATCAGTCGGAACTAAATTGAAATCTCAAATGGAAATCAGCCACCAAAATAATTTGGATTCACTGGATCAGGCACCAGTGAAAGAGCCGGTGAAAAGTGCTCATAGCTGAAATCGCTTAGAGTGTGACTATAATAAACGAAAGATTACGAGGATATAGTCTGGAAAATCAAAGTTAAGTCTATTTTCAATAAAGACCGCCAAAGTGACCTTCTGCATAGATATGCATTTCATTTTAAAAAATATTTACTATCTTTCGTTTATAAGCAGGGTTTCGAAATAACCAGTAAATCCGTTAGGTGAGATGTATTCACCCTATGTCGTTTAAGGTGATGAAGGAATGGTAGTTGAATTTTCCCACAATGATGTGAGTAGAGCCGACGTTTCGATTCAATTTAAAATAGGCCTGCTTTCCAAAAAGATGTTCTAATCCAGGGTGGACTGGTTTCGACATCGCCTAAGCCTTATAAAAACCCCTAGCGAAACTCAAACCATGACAGTGCAGCGTATAATCTTGGCACGTTAACCACTACGCCAAATTGCCACATATGTCCTTGGGGGGCACCACTCAAAACAAAAAATAAGTAATGCCGTCGAGTGCTATAGCAAATATAAGTTTGCTTCATCGACAATCCCATCACAGAATGTGATATGAGAAAATGCATGGTTTTCCATGAAATTCACATCTGTTCTGTGCCCCAGGGGCACTCGCGGAAATGTGGCGTAGTGATTAAGGTGTCGAGATTACACGCTGCACTGTCATGGTTCAAGTCCTACTGGGGGTGTTGATAAGATCTAGACGAGGTCGGAACTGCAGTCCATCTTTTGGAAAAGCAAATCTATGTAAAATTCAATCGAAATACCAGCTCTACTCATATCATTGAGGAAAAATTCAACTACCTGTCCTTCATCACCCTAAACGAAATAGGGTTAATAAATCACATATTTACTGTGACAGTATGAATTTAGAATACCATATAAACAAGGCCTGAAGAAGAGGTGATCGGTCTTCATTGCTCTAGTTATTGTCTTCCAAGGTAGCCGTCTTAGTTGCTCTCAGCCCTACATATTAGTTGGAATGGCTTAAGACAGGAACAATATAATTTTTGCATTATCTATTACCCACGAACATGTGGAATTTTAAAATGGAAAATCTAAGATAAAGTGTGTAAAATTTCGGCATTACAGTCATATCGAAGACTGAGTTTTGTGGTTTTGACCAAAGAAGTCTGTTTTCGG